CAGTTCCTATGTATTCTTTACAATTCCAGGAATTTCCAGAGTTCCTGTCTTAACGTTTATGTCATCACCATTGCTTTTTGAACGATGTGAGTCAGCCCAATTTGAATTTGCAGTAACATTACCCAGATGCTGCTAGCAATTGCTGCCCTAAAAGAAAAGGATAGATGCTGAGAAAAGTATGGTGACTGCCATTAATCACTCYAACAAATGGGCACTGCTGGTGACAGGATGGCTTCCTGTCTCTCCCAGCAAATACTACCCCAGTGATGAGAGTGTGAATGAGGCTGCCAGGGGCTTTGCCAAGAGGAATGCTCAGAGAGTTGAATGAGATGTTGCACGAGGTAATGATTGCAATGGCCTCTGGAATCACACAGGCGGGCTTGGGAGGGAGGAGCTGGGCAGACAAGGAGAAAGAAGATGAGTAATTTTCCAGCTGATCTGTGGATTAAGGCTCTTTCACTGGTATTTGTTGCTGCACTGCTTGAACTGAAAACTGCAGTCTTTGGGATGTGGGAGATGTGTCTGGACAGTTTGGGTCTGGGGCTTTCAATCGGAGCTGACTGTCATACTCAGAGTCAAATCATCCTGTGAATAATTGGACCAATTGCTTACCTCAGCTCCCTGATTTACGCTCTGCTATAAATCACTGAACAGCTTTTCTTCTGAGAGCAGTAGCTTCAGGAGTAGCTCAGGACCTCAGCTTGGAGCTGGTTTGTAGTTTGATTTCAGTGAAATACATCAAGATGACATGAAGTACACTCTTACCCTGGAAACTTTTCCCTGCTGATAGTTATAAATACACCGCACTATTGTGCTTGGCATGCTGCTTGCTAATAGAGGTGAGGGCTCTGAAACTCATTAGGAAAGGGAGCGGGCCACAGAGTGGAGTGAGGACAGTGTGAAGCGAAGGTTGATCAGCACAGCCTTGTCCAGAATAGGCCATGGGAGTTTTCTTATCTCGCTTTGGCAGGAGGTGCTGCTAGCTTCCTGTGCGAAATCACGAGCATACGCTGCTTTCCTCTTGTTGTTTGGCTTCCTCCGCTACACAAGACGGTTCCCAGCACTGTGATTATCTTTGCATCTTCAAACATGGCACACTCTGCTTCCTCAAGGGCTTGATGTATTCTTGAGAAGTAGGCTGGCTCCCCTCCCCCCAGCCACTTCTCCAGGGCCCCTGTGGGTGCCAGCTCCACACATCACAGACCTTTTATAAAGCTGGATTTACTTCTGGTTGCATAAACTATCCCCAGCCTCCAAATCGTGTAAATTCCCGAAACTCCAGGTGGTGAGCAGGCCTGATGGCAGAAATCACAGTGTCACAGGCASAGCCACTCTCACCCCTCTTTCCCCCTGTGCTGGGTCTCTCTGACAACCCTACAGAGAATTGGTGGTCCCCGTTTTTACAAAAGAACAGGCTCTGGACACAAAGGCTGATGTGTGCCTGTGCAGGTGCACACCTGCAAATGTGTATGCCAGCACGCATGCAGGCACATGGGAAAAACTACTTAGGGTGTGAAAAACCTGAGTGCTCTGCTTCTACCAGCACTTGGCTAAGGCAGAAGAGTCCCATTGCCTCACTCTGAGGTTGCGTAACATTTATGAGCTGAGGTTTGTACACAYCCCCGTGAGCATCTGTTGTGTGGGATCTCCACACGTGCAGAGTTGCACCCACGGAGTAGAAACATGAAAGGGTCTGCAGGGACAGAGGTGAAAGAAATGCTCAGWAATGTGCTGGCGGATATCAGCCTGTTTATCAATCTCTGTGCACACCATGTGCTCGTTCATTAACCCGGCAGTAACCCTGCTGTAAGATTTCCTGAAGATGCAAAGCACTGAGCTTCATACCACAATGAAACACTTCAGGAATTTGTGTGCTCTGGAGATACCCGGAGTAAGATTCRAATATCTAAATTTCAGTGGGATTTCTCTGCAAACACAGACAGTTCTTGCTAAAAATGCAATGCCTTTGCTATTTTAATGAGTGGGCAGTTTGAAGGAATTTGTAATTTCTTTGGAATGAGAAAAATATGTAGCTGATGTTATGTGAGGACACATCCTATGAAACATCAATCGAGTTAATAGGAAGATGATTGCCTATTTTGGTTCCAGCCAGCATAGATTTTCRTGTTTTCATTTTTCCCTCTTTCTTTCCAAGCATCTGTGCTCAACACAAACATTTGGTTTGATGATTACATCTAAGTTCAGCAGAACGTTTTCTTTTTCTGTTCTAAAATGCCAGTTGTTAGAAGCTGAGGTCAGGTTAAGAGGCAAGACTCTTGACTGATTTTTCCTTTCCCCATCTCTATGTGATGTTGCTGGTTTAGGCAGTGTCTTTCACAGGGCACCCCTGGCAGCAGTAAGAGGGGGCATGACTTGGAGTCTTGACCTGAGTAGCCAGCTCAGGACATTAGACACAGCTCATACGCTGTCCCTGAGCTATTTTTGTGTATTTGAGGTTCAAGTGAAGGGATGTGGCAACTGATGAGAGAAAGCATCTGGTTCTGCATCCAGAGGGATGAGTCTGAGTGTTGTCGTGGACTCTGCCTGGCAGCCAAGCTCAAACTGATCTGTAAATGTTCGCTGATCCAGAGTCAGTGCAGCCCCAGCAGCATGCACAGCAGTACTCACATCTCCAGCTGCGTGCTGTTGGATGTAGTATTCTCAGCTTGATTGTGACTCATTTTTTATTCAAACCATGGACAACAGTTATGAAATGTATTTGATTTTCTACTATAATTGCATTAACATTGTAATCGCCAGTTTGGATATAGAATGGAATGTGATGTCAATGGAGTTCACATATGTGCCTCCAGGTCTAATCTAGCATTTTACATGTGTTTTTCTTGTTATTGTGATGTTACTGTGGTTATGATGGTGGTTTGCATTCTGGTACTAATGAGTAATCAGCACCTCATTGTGCTAAGCATCAACAAAGATATAACACTGTCCTCATCMCTAAGACATGGCAAATATTTACACTCTTTTTAAAAAATTGTGAGGAGGAGTGTAATAATAGCAACTCAGTCTGGAGGCTCCAGAGCTGTAAGAAGGGAAATTGGAGATGCTTTTCTGAGATGCATGGTTTCTGAATATGCATTAAGATTCTCTCTGTCCTGTACCAGAATATGTGTCTCTGTAAGGACTTTTATGGTAAAGAGTAGAAAATTTCAACAATGTAGCAAAGAAACAATAATAAATTCTTTGGGGATAGGAAAAAAAAATTAGGAGGCACTTTTTAGTACAGGTGAAGTGAGATTTTGGTGTCTCTGTTTTTCTGTACAGATTGGATCCAGTCATAAAGATGTGTTTTTGATACTGCCTGTTTGTGTGCCTACAGTACTGGAATCACAAACTGAGTTCTGATATCTTCTATGGCGTGGAAATGCTTAGTCAAATTGTCATGCCTTCTGTGTTTCATTCTTGTCACAGAACCAGACTTCTTAAAGCATTAAATGTGCAAAGTAAATGTTATCTACCTTTCTGAATAATTTTAACCATTTTTTCCCATCTGGGTGCATTTAGTGCCCTTATTAATGCAGRTGTCTTTCATCCACCCTGGCCTCAACAATCATGTATTAGAAGTTGGCTTTTAAACCAGACTCTGAAAGAAATGGTTGTCTAGATAGGGCCTTCCTGCCATGCTATTGCCCCCCGTCCTCTCTTCATAAACCATTCGCCATTGCCTTCCCCTGTGTCTTTTTTTTTTGTCTTCTCAATACTCTGATCCCTTAAAAGCATGTTGTGAAATGTGGGCAGCCCAAGTTAGTTTCCATGTCATTATTTCTTGAAGCTGTATTATCTGSTAAGACACCAGCCAGTTTGATGCAAAGCTGCACAATTAAAAACAAGTATGTAAAGTTGGTCTACCATTGATACTCTAAACAACACAAAGTTTAAGCAAACTGCACAGTTGGCTGGAGGGGAATGAGCCTCATTCTTTGGTCAGGATTGCATCACATTCTGTTTTCCAGTCACTGGGCTTTAAAGTWCATTTCTCCAAACGACTCTTATGCATGTCAGAACTTTTTGATTAGAGATACTACAGCCATTATCTTTCAAATCCAAGGAACACAGTGTATTTGGAAGAACTTCTGAAGGGTTAATCTCTGCCGATGAAGCTGGAATTGAACAAGCAACAGCTAAATTTTGGATGAAAAACGGAACTAGATATTCTCAAAGAACAGGGTCAGGCAGCACTTAAGAAGCATTCCAATGTATTTATTTCCATGTGTACCAAATCAGAATTTAGAAAACAAATTAGCTCTACCATGACCACACCTGAATGTTGTGATTACAAGCTAGTTTGTTGCATAAGGCAAAAACATTTTTTCTCTGGCGCTTCCATTCATCAAGATGAATTTAATATTCTTCCAGTTAAATTATAATTTAAATCCCTTTAGGTATAGTTTTGTTTAACTTTKTTCTGTTCATTTGCAGGATTATGCCTATTTTTACTGTGTGTCTTGCAATCATTGAACCTCAGTGTCAATATATTGCTATTTTGTAAACTGAAGTGAAAAAAAATTCAGAAATGAAAACTGACATCATTTTTTCTTAAAACGAAAAAAACCTGCACAGAGTAAAAGAGCATCCAATGCATTACRGAGTGGATCTTAAAACAAATATAATTTGTCTTGAGTTAAGGCTAAAAATAGTATGAACTCAGATTTTGGCAATGTCTGTAAACAGGAGCATTGAAAATGGGACATTGATCTTGTGCAGCTCTATATTTAGGCTCTGACTGTAAGTTCTGACCTCTCCCTTTGCAGTGGACTAAATGTGAACACTGACTCTAGAGAGCTTATGCTCAAGGAGGGCTGTGGCAGTGGATCCAATTATCAGGCTCTAAAMCTCAGTATTTAAAGAAAAAAAATATTATGGCAGTCATCACAGCACCTGCAGTTTTCCTGAGTGATCACTGTTTTCAGAACAATTGTTTTGTCTTACGTGTTGATTTTCTATAACCAAATCAATAAAATTTCAAATTTTGTTGCCTCCAGGAATGGRTTTTGCTTTTATACTGAGGGATCTCACATCCTGAAAGCTGGCAGCAACACAGGAAACAGGATCCAGAGCATCACTGAAAGAACAGCTGTAATAGAAGGCAAAAATAAGGTACGATTCCTAGGGCCAGATGACATTTCTGTGTGACAGTATGTGTTGAAAAGGCACTGTAAGATGCTATCAAGGTAWCAGAGAAGAAGCCAGTATTTTCATATTGTTCAGATTTGCAATCTGCATACATGCAGGTAACTTTCATACTTGATATTTATCTGCTGAGAGGCAGAGATGTATTTATTTCTGGGGGCTGTCATATTAAGGTAAGTGACATGCCAGGGAAGTGTATCAGTGGAATTCACTCTATCTCCTCTTTTATTCATGGCCTGAAGTATCTTGGGGTACCTCAGAAGCACAGGGGCAGGATTCCAGGCCATCTTTGCTTCATTTAGTACAATTGCACAATTTCATGCTGTTTTTCCTATGAGATTTAAACTATTTACTCTCATTAGTGGATTTATTCACAGATGTGGTCCTAGATGTTTAGATGGCCAAGTGTTTTTTTGGACTGAAGTCTGAAGAGCCAAAAGAATCCAGATTACAGAAGCAAAGTTTAAGAGAGATCTCAGTCACAGACAGCAAGATGGGATTCTTCCCAGCAATATTAATCATCTAAATTTCAAGTGCCAGTCCAAGTCAAGCACCCTCTGTGGGCCATGGGGAGATGCAGATAATTCTGAAGGGTGTGTGGGCCWGTGGTCTTTGCTGTCTGATGTGCAAGAGAAAACCGATGGGATTAACTTGCCAGAGRCTAAGAAGGATTGTCCATCAGTTAAATCCTTCAAATCAAGGATGCCTTAGATCAACTGCACTTCCCTGGAATATACAAGAGACTGATTTTATGTGCTTGGGTGGCTTGTGCTACAGAGCAGCTCAGGTGAAGGTGTGCAATGCTCTGACACTGTCACAGAGTCTGTTTTCATGGACTGGTTTTGTTTATGGCAATAATAGCTGGAGAGATTATAAATTTTAAAGCCTATCTTACTCTAGGCCTTTCATTTTTAATGACACCAAAACACTTTTTGTAATTCTAAGGGYACTGGGATTATAGGTCTCTTTTCCTTGATGGCTGCCTTCCATTTCCTACATATGAAAATGGGTATAAATTGCAGTTATTCTCATGTTAAGGCCCTTTCACACAGCGCAGAATAAATAGGGTTTTACGTGCAGCCAAGAATCAGATCTGGGACTGCTTTTTTTMCTGCTGTTATATTATCTAGAAAGTATCACAGGTGTTCATGGCACCATTCCAGCACTTGGGAGCAGGCTGGATCCCAGAGAGGCATTTGCTCTATTTAGCTGTCTGGCTCTATGTGATTAAAGATCAAGGCAAAGATGAGAGCAAAAAGTTTCCTAGGGTAGACTAGAATAGGAAAGCACATGAAAAATGAGACATAAGSAGGAATTTGGAGGAGGAAAGGGAAATCATTTTAGGCACACGAAGACACAGTCTATTCCAAAGGGGGAACGATGAGCAAGATTATAAGAATCAGTTGTTTTCCAGCAGTCATACAGCTATGGGTGAAGTCCTACCTGTTCACAGGGTACAGAAGAAGCTGTCTAATGACCACATCTCACTCACCTTGTGTTCCACGCCTTTTGGGACAGTGTAAGAGGAGTGGCTGAAAGGTCAAAGCAACTTCCAGTCAACAGCAAATAAATTCCTCCCTGGAGGAAGATGCTAATAATGGGTCCTTGTGGCAGAACTGTGAGTCTTTGGCAAGCAGCCCGTTTTGAAAATGTGCTCAGAAATGAACCAAGGAATGGTCTTTGCACAGAAGGATTTGCAGTGAAACTTACTGGTCCTCCCTGGTTTTCCTTGTCTTTTTGCTGTTTAGTTCAACTAAGAAAGGTGTGCCTTGCTTTGCTTTATTCCTCCTGGTCCCTGTGGGGAGGGGGAGGTTAGKGAAACAGTCTCGTTACTCAGATTTTCACAGCTTTTCTAAAGTTTCTCTATTTCTGCTGCTTTTCCATAGCTTTCCAAGCACAGCTGGATTGCTATTGTAAGTARAAAATACTCTCTAAGACCAGGCTTCTGGCCAAGCCGAGAGTTGCATGATTCGTGCACACACAGCTGCTCCAGGGCATCCAGGATTGTTCCTTCAAATCCACGGGAGTCTACGACGTTTCACTCTTCGCAGTCCAAGAGTCACTCTTAGTGTCCCAGAACAAACTCAAAGAGACAGGGTCCAGACAAAACCCCTGCCCATCTGCAGCGATATTGTCAGAATGTAAATAGCACTGAGCTCACTGAATGCAGCACGTCATCACAAGTGTCTGTCTCTGAGTGACTGCTACTGTGAGCAGCTGTGAGCAGCTCTGAGGCATTTCCACATCGGTGGTGCCCTGCTAAATAAAGTGTCTACCCCACTTCCACATCCCAACAGAGCAAGGTTGGTAAAAACAATCTCAGAGCTCAATGGAAACAAGTATGTAGGAGACAAAGCGGTAGGAAATGGATGAAGAACCTCAAAAAGTTTCACATTTGGGTTAGCACAAAAGGAGAAATGTGGGTGGTCAGGGGATGAGATTATTGCARCCAAGGGAAGAGATGAGCAAGGAATGATCAACAGGCTTCTTTAGCAATGAAGGTAGCTGTTTTCACCTTCCTAAAGACATTGTGCTAGTTCCACATATTTCCTGTATGTGCAGCATCTAAGTGCCTCCGGTTTGGCTCTTCGCTGTGGTGGGTTGTGTGTTTGTCTGTGGTTATCAAGGTAGCCACAAGTTATATTTTAAAGTTAGAAAAACCTCAAGCCCTGCGCCTGTGCAGTTAAAGTAGCTCAGGAAGCCTGCACCACATTATTCTTTGGTGGCAGAGAAACCGTGACAACAGTGTTTTACTAACATTTCCGCTAAAGCCTCTCCAAGTGGACATTGAGAAACTCGAGTGGTACAATGGAAGAACTTGGTAACATAAGCTATAATACTTAATCATAAGACAACTCTTGAAGTGACTTGATTCCCCCACCCAAAATTTTCATTCTCKCTTTGCTGGATATTTCAGTGACTTCCTACAAAGTTGTGCTATTCTTAGGCTGATCATGTAAACAGGTCACAGACCCTCTCCTGTCATTCAGCTGCTAACACCCATCACTTCTCAGTGAAAGCTCACTTCCCAGCTAAAGTTAGCTGCCATGTCTAACTGAGGGCTGACACTGATTATTATTCTTTGCATGGGCAGTGCTCATTGGAATGTCAGTTGGTGAATGACCTGCAGTAATAAGGTACAAAGACCTGGCGAATTCACTGGGCCGGCACATACAATTGCTAGACAGGCGTGTGTTCTCTCCTGGGAGGGCAGGCACACACTGACTTATCAACAGCTTTGAAGGCAGCTGGTACCCCTTGGATAGGGACAGGGAGCAGGAGAAGTGGACAAGGATCCCGGGCATGGAGCATTTGCAGATGACCACTAAGAAGGCAAGTTTAGATGAGGGAAAGCAAAAAGTGTGGGCCAAGAAGAAAGGATTGTAAGTCCAGGGGAAAGAGACCACAGAGAGGACGGTGGTTGAGTACAGGGGAAGTTGGAGGGAGTGGACAAAACTCTCTTGTTTTTGGGAACTAACCTATGGAACCACATTTTGAGAACCTGAAATGGAACAGAACATCCCTGACTGCCTCATGCCCTACAGCCAGCAAATGTTGGAGTCCCACTGACTCAGGTACTATGAAAGCAGGGTCTGTGTCAGAGGGGATGCCTTCAAGAACTTTGTATAAAGTATAGTAATACATGAAATTTGGGTTTATGATGCATATATAAATGAATATATATATATGTATATATATATTTGGCTTGGTTTTCCACTGCATGAATACTTCACTTATTAGTGGTTCCAGCACTTGTGAATGACAAAGCCACTTGACTTCCCGGAAAATCAAAATTAATGGCTCCATAACGTGATTCAGTAAGACAAAATTTAGACTCACCCTTGTGCATCTCTGGTTTGGCTGGCAACAATGGGTCAACCTGACTGGTGGTAGTATTCAAAAGTGCAACCCTTCAAAGTGGTGTGCTGGATAGTCAGAAGAGTCAGTCCTTCCTGGACATGACTGATAGAATGGTTCCATCTCTCTTGCATCTTCTATGCYAAGCCCTAAACATCTTCCTAGTTCMTAAACTCTGCCAAGTTCCCACATTACTCATGAGATGAAGAAATGTGTGCTGTCTGTTCTCAGCCCTGACACAWGCCAGCTGTCTGGTCAGTACATCTGTGCAGATTAGCCATCTGGAGCCCAAAGAGGAAGAGAAAGCTATTTAGCTCWCTGCAGCAATGTTTTGATCTTTCTCCTCTACCCAACAGCTAGTTTTCATGAAATGTGTGAGATCCTATGAGCTTTGAGTTGTCARTAAGTTTTGGTTGAAATTGGACAATGATTCGAAAATTACTGTGTGCTTGGGGAAGGAGAGGATATTGGCAGACAGATGGACAGGCTGGCAGACAGATGAACATACGGACAGTATGATCCTCCTCAGATCCCAGGCTAAAGGCAGCAATGGGAGCGTCACTTGCCTCTCTTCAGCACATTGTAACTTCTCCTGGAGCCCTCCCAAGTGCTACTAGAATTGCTGTCAGCACTTTCAAGTGAATCTCTGGGAGGTACCAGCAGAGCCAAGCCCTTGGTGAGATTAAAACCAGAAGAACCTGAGGCTTGCCGCTGCTGAGCTGTGAATCCCTCCACTCCTGAGACTGATCCCTTCCTTYGATGCAGGAGGGAGGTGTGAATGGAGCACTGCCTTGCCCTACCCATGGCACTACAGAAGAGGGCAAGGGGTGCCCTGTGCCATGATTCTTTGCTGGTCAGCTGGCTGGGTGTCACGAACTGTTCCAGCGGGACAACACGGGATGCAGAAGGAAAACGCAGCTCTGCTGGCTAAACAGCAGCAACTTGCAGAGATCTGTCTGTGTGACTCTAGAGAGAAAGAGGATCTGAAGACTTCTTTTCCTTCTCTGCCATCAGCYGGAGTTGTGGGAATCTTCCATCCCAGCTATTCTGAGAAAACAGAAATTCAAGCAGACCCTCCAGGGGAAAGACCAGCCACCCTGGCTCCAAGTGCARTGGTGGTGCCAACTGCTTTGCACTCTCTTTGCCCCCGCCCAATATTTTCCATCACAAACAAATCCGTGAATTTCATCTTCCATCTCTTAGGATTTCTGCATAATACTGCTGTCATTTGTCTGGCAAAGCAACAGTAGTACAGGATTTCTTTCCCTAGCCCCTGGTTTCGAGATGAGCCTGTGGCACAATGCTTCAGCTGACATGATGGGTGTAAAAAGAAGAAATAAAGGCCAAAACTTTGGTGGTAAATGGGGTTTGTGGACAGGTGATGCTCAAGGTATTGAGCATGCCAGGAGGGATTTTCTTCTCTGCCTGATCATGCCAGCTTCWTTCAGACTTCCTGCATATAACACAGTTGCAAATGGAGGGCCTAAAACTCCCTGCTGTGATGCCAGACGACACAAGATTGTGGAACCTTTGCTTCTTTTGCGGCAGTAGTTGTACAGAGGAACCATGCTGCACAAACTGATCTCAAACAGCCATAGTTTCTCAATAACAACAACATGCCAGGCTTAGTTTTGTACACACTGCTTCTCTGGTGGGTTTTGGCTGGCATCCACAATACAAAACACAGACTGCACTACTGGAGGGCTTACAAACGATTTAAAGAGATATTATCTTGTCCTTGTGACTAATTTATAAGTGAAAAGATTTATATAGAGACATGCTGTCTCTACAATATTCTGTGCTGTTGCAAAGTCAGTCTTGCTTCCTCCTAGACACTGTGGCTTTCTCTGCCTCAGCCATGTAAACATATCAATGTCTTCCCTCTGGCACTACAGCCTCCTGTGCTCATAGAATTTATTTGCCTTGCCTTCCAAAGAGACATTGCTTTCATGGAAGTTGCCTGTTGGAAGTGATCCTTGGCCCATGCTAAAGAAGGATTTGGGAGAGTGTGAGGTGGTTAAAACCAAAGTGCCGCTGGGGAAAAGTTTAAATCACTGCTTCCAATGCCAATGAATGTTATCTCGGCCAATTTTAATACACAAGAAAAAGGTATCACATTGCCGTGGGCTGAAGTAGTAAAACTCACATACTGCGCACAATTTCTCTTTAAAAGTAATACCTTATGATATAAGGACAAAACACAGTCTGATACTTCCAAAAACATTTCAAACCTTTGGAGTAATTGTAGGAGGAATAGTCAGCATCTGTTTTCCAGGCTCAGAAGTGCACTGTCTCAGTGCACAGTAGATTRAAGACAGGTGTCCTGGAGTCAGAGAGCAAGAGCTTCATTCTCCTTCACTGTRCATGTTAGGTCACAATTGCTTCCTGGGAAAGTTGCTGTGAGGTAATACCAGCTAGCAGAAAAATCCTATTTTTTTTGGTGGAAAATCTGGGATGGCAGAAGCAGTTTTCAGCCACCCACATTAGCCTTCTGTGATAGACATTGTGGTACTTCCTTCTGTTCTGTGTTAGTTTTGATAAAACAGCTGCAGGAATCCTGGTGCTGGGCTCTGTGTCCACACTTTWCAAAACCATGTTTAGAACTTGGAAGAAATTCAGAGAGAATGACAAAATATAGAAAGGACTGGGGTGGGCCCTTTTATAATCAGAAATTTGTAGAGGTCAGCCTACTRAATTTAGCAAAACAGGGTGATTTTTTCTAAGAGCTGTAATTATTTATCTGGTGTTACTGATCTTCTTTTATCTTGCAGAAGATCCAAAAAGGTTGTTTAGGAAAATTATAGCTATAAATATTTTGTAGAGTGTTAGCAGACAGGTAGTTGGCCACTGAGGCAGTTTAACCTGGCAGAGGTGCTGTTCAGAAGTGCTGAATTCAATTGTAGCAAATTTACTGTAGTGCAGTCTTCTAAAACAAATAGGCCATAATCAAATTATTTGCYTCATCTGTGTTTGCTCAAGTAGTAGGAAAAGTAATCGACTTTTTCTACTAAAGAATGACTTTTGGAAACCAGAAGATCTRTGTTATTTAGGGGTTCAACAGGAGTTTGGGGGTAGCTGTGAATTCTCCCAGCAGGAGAGAACAGCAGTGCAAATGTTCAGTCAGGGTTTATGTAGAAATGTCGATAACTGGTTCTTATTTGTTACTGCTTCACCCACTTGTGCTTGTCTCTGTGCTTGTCTCTGAACTCCAGCAAACAGGCAGATTTAATTGCACAAAAGTTATTTTTAACATTTTTAGAAAAACCAAACAATTCCAAAGAATGGGATTCTGAAGCTCCACAATTTCCTTCCATCACCATCCCAGCTCTGCCTGTAACTCCAGCCAAAGTTTTACAGAAGAAGTGAAATGGCAACAGAAAGACAGAAAATTAAGTTATCATGTTGTAACTGGGAGCTCATTACACTGAGGAAGCCCATGCTCATGCCTCATGTCTCAGCTGCATAACAGAATGACTCCTCAGTTGTTTCTGCATAACTTTCCTCTTTTGCTTAGTGCCAAAGCCATTAGACCATGGCTTTCCATCACCCTAAAGGTATAACTCTTATTATTACAAGGGCTTTTATGTTTCTAAGGGCACTTTAGGTATTTTTGGTCCTTGGCCTTTCAAGGTCTTATCTTTCAAGTCATATAACTCTGAGAAAATATTTAGTGTGCTGGACCTCTAAGGATGGTGATAGAATACAACATAAATAAAACTAACATATTATTTAATAATAGAAATATTAAGTCCAAGAARGGGTAAAATAGTACAAAAAGAGGTTGGGTAAACCTCTGTTTTGCTGCAGTCCTGTCTCACCTAACCTGTACATGGGAAAATGAAAGAGAAATCTAACGAGTTTACTGCCAAACTTTCTTTTGCCAGCATTATCAAATGCCTGAGGCATGCCTCACCCTTTCCCTTTGCAGTCTGGCTCTCCCACAGGCTGCTTATCTCCTCATGTGAAATGCATTGTGTCATGCTTCATGTCTTGTAGCTTAGCATTACATCACCAGCAAGAGATCAATCAATCTGAAAGGCACGTTCGAAGATTTTTCGTTTTGATGGCTTTGATGATGTAAGGGTCACACAAGGATCTTGTTACTATTCTGCCCTTTCCAGAGCAGTATGTGGGAACATCTCCTTTAAATAGCCCCAGAGGTGCCCATCACTGAACAAAAAGAAAGAGTGGATCCAGGGACTGCCAGTGGTGACTTGGGAAAAAGAAAAGGCAAGCTTTATCTGAGTTCTTGAGCCACTGAGAACTAAACCTCTTCTTACTTTTGCAGACTGCTAGCAGTCTCGTTGTAGCTGAAGCCAAATCCTCAGGAATCTACAGCTGTGTGGCATCCAATAAAGCGGGAAAATCTGAAAGAAATGTCAGCTTCATTGTAACAGGTAAGATCTAGTCCTCTATGGAGTCAAACAGGTTTCCTAATCCTGGGATTATAACTGTTAAACTGTTGTAGCTTTCCAATATACCAAGGTTTGAGAACTACTGTAATGTATACACCTGTAAGGTATCTCATGATTTTGGGTGATGCTGGTCTGGATTTCTAAGGGCACCAAATTGGTGAATGATTMATTCCTCCATCAAGTATCCAGCAAGACACAAATTGCTAACAAATATAGCAATGCACAATCCCCCATTTTCATTCATCTCTGCAGTCATTTCATACGTGAAATTTTAGTGTATTTTCAGACACCAGTAAGCCAGTTTCTTGTGTGACATTGACAGTGTCTACAGCCTCATCCTGTTGCCTACAAGGATATCTCACAAGACAGTGTCTAGGACAGTGGAGTGCCCCTCACAGGTCTCAGGGACCATGGCAATTTATAGGTATAAAATGTCAGGGTAGAGACCACTGAGTTTTTTTCCTCTTCTGAGAAAGACAGCTTTGGATGTCATCTGGGCCACGGCACTGAGAATTCCTATCATGTTATCTGCATGCATGAGTATGCTTTTTGTTATTTTTGTATTAAGAGATGTGTTTAGAGTTTTCACAAACAAATGATTTCATGTTTTACTKCAGATATTACTGAACAAAAACCCACAATAATTTGGGAATAATTACTGCATTATTTAGCAATGTAAAGTCYGCACATGCAATTACAAAGGATTTGTTTTCCGTCAAAAGTTTTGTTTTGTTTATTAAGCAGTAGTTTTATAAACTTAAGCTGTTGGCAATTTTAAGAAATTTTAATTTTCATTAAAGAAATTATTTCAAAATCCATTTGAAACTATGAGAAAAGCAAAAAGGTTAAAATATTTAGATGCTTTAATCCCTGAATCATAATCTCTGGGGGTTTTGTGTTGTCATTCTCTTGTTTATTATTCTGATGAGCGATCTTGGTGAAACTCATTCTATTTCTATTCTGAGAGCTATCAAAAGAGAATAAACACACACTCATTAGATTTGGTTAGAAAAAAAGGAAAAGCTACTTCAAAAAACATCCCCCCTCCCAATTTTGTGGACAAAATTCATAATTTTTAAATATTCTGACTAGCTGTAACAGAATCATTGAATATCAGGTTGGAAGGCTCCTCAAGGATCATCTGATCCAYCCTGTTTTGGCAAAAGCACTGCACCTAGTCCAGATGGATCTTAAAATTGTCCAGCATTGGGAAATCCACCACTTTTCTGGGGACATCATTCCAACGGCTGATTGTTATCATTGTGAAAAATGTTTCTTTTGTGTCCAATCAGAATSTCCCCAGGAGTAACTTGTACCCATTTCCCCTCACATTTCCCAAGTATCTCCTTGCAGCTTCTTTGTAGTTACCCTTTAAATACTGGAACACTTYGATAAAGTCTCCCCTCTTTTCTCTCAGCCTCTCCTCATATGGCAGACTTTMCAGTCCTTTGATCATCTTTATGGCACTTCTCTGGACTCTATCCAGATTTTCCACATCTGTTTTTTATAGAGGGGACCAAAACTGAACGCAGTATTCTGGATGTGGCCTGACAGGTTCTGAGTAGAGTAGGCTTCTTTATTTCTGCTAGTGATGCCCTTGCTGGGGCAATCCACAGCCTGTTGACTTTTTTTGCTCAGCACCACCCTATTTGATCATGCTGAGCTTGTTGTCCACCACAGGTCCCTTTTCACAAAGCTGGTCCCCAGCTGGGTAGAACTGTTAACCTGGATGAACTGGTTTGGTGCTTCTAGGAAAGCACTTTTCCTCTAACTGGGAAAATAGAAGAAAAGAGCTTGGGCAGCAATACTTTTCTTTGGCACCTCCAGAATTTTGCAGTCTTCCTTGAATCTGCCCAGATTCCAGCTTGCAGTATCACTCTTGCCCACACAAAAGAGTAGCAATGAATAGCAGTCTTGACAAGTTGTGGCACCCTCTCAGCAATATCTCAGGGCTTAGCTGCCAGAAGGAAGTGTAACTCCCTGTCACACCAGCAGATGGGCACATTAGTGCCCCTAAAGGGAGTCACCCACTGCAATCACTCGTCATTTCTCTTTATGGTCTCCACACTTGTGCTGCTGGTACAATTTCACCWGGCAGACTTTGTGGGTGTCTACAGCTGCTAAGCCTCCATATCATAACACACTTTCACATTTAGAAAGTGCCAGTTATCTATAAATATAGAAAATTGGTAAGAGGCATGAGAGTTATAAACATGTAAGTGACACATAGGCAGGTTGTTTGTTACAGAACAGAAAGGAGAAAAATGTCTCCATGTTCTATTAATGGATGTGACAAGAATATTTGCCACTTTGAAGACCACACTTGTCCCCACTCTCAGTTCTGCTTTCATCCCTACCCTCACACTGTGTCTGGACAGAGAGCTGAACAGCATACAGACTCYATAAATTAACGTGCCAGTGACAGTCTCATCCTTGTGTGGGTACTTCACATGAAACCTGGGGGAGTCACTGAGAGTCACTCACAGAGAATGTTGCTCTTTCAATGTGTTAAATGCTGAATTTGGCCTTCTTTAAGTCTGACTCCTCAGTTCTCGAAATAGACATGGAAGATCCTGAAAACAAATGAAGATGTACTTTGATGGACCCCATTCGCTGTATCCAAATCACCCTTTCAAAGTTTTGATGGTGATTTTCAGTATTTTAGTGGAGTGACATGAAGGATTYAGTTTCGCTGTTTAGACCTCACATTCTCAGATCTTAACCAGAGATGGAAGGAAATCCTTCTTCTTGATACTAAGGCTTGCATGAGAACATGCAGAATATTATGACTTTCTTTTGAAGAATCTTATATCGACTGGTGTTCAGAAAGAAGAGTGTCAGCTTTATTATGGGTCGGAATCTCTTGACTGGTGGCAAGTATTCTTTACAGGGTGGTGAAGTTGAAATGCATTTGTCCTTTGAGTTCCTGGAGATAAGCATTTCAGTTGTGCGACATGGAAAGTCCTGATCATCCTCTGACACTCACAATTCTGCCCTTTGGTCCCTACAAAAATCCAGTCAGGCTCACCACAGTTCTCCTCCATCAGGGTGAGACCCAAGTCCCGTGGCTGGGTACAGCCTGTGATTCACGTGAAGAAACAAACACATCCAGAATGTGCTGAAACACACACTGAGGGAGTAAAATCCTGAGAGCCTTAAATGCTGATGGATGTGAACAGGACACTGCAAAGTATTTCCTTCTGATGAGTCCAAAACCAATACTTCAGGTTTTGCGTGACAGCTTAGGGCTAGTTTATCTCCCATTGTTGAGTCTGCTGGCGCCATTTGAAGTCAGCCTGAGCCACTCAAAAGTGTCTAAAAGTAGGAGAAGTGTCTCAGCAGGAGAAGATGATTCCTTGCAGGAAAAGGAGCTGCTGCTCTCTGTAAAAGGGACAAGCCAGAAATTGCTCCAAAGAGCAGATGGAGACAAAGCCTGCTGCTAACAGGAAGATCCCTTTCCCTAAAGGCAATGTCTCTCAGCCCCGTCCTGGGGATGAGAAAACACACGTACTCCGGTGAAGTGGCTGCAGTACTGTGAGGGGTCTCTCTTTTGTAGGCAGAAACTATTGGGAAGGTGGTGGGAGGCAGAATATGTCCCTAGTTAGGAGCTKACGAGTTCCACTTCTTCAGGGAAAGGTAACATAAGGAAATTAGTGCCAGTAGAGAGAACCTAGGAAGAACAAGCACTTTCTTTAGTTACTGTAAATCTGATTAACTCTAGGCTTGAAGTGCAACCTGTCTCTCTTTAYCTAGGAAGTCTAGGAGTGGTATACATAATTTAATACACTGTGACTGGTAGTGTATGGCATGAATATTGTGGGTTTCGGAGTAGCTTTCCTGTGGCTTCTGTCAGATGAAGGGCATTTTTGGTGTATTGTCCGTGACTTACCTCTAAAAGCAAATCATAGTTCAAGAGTCAAAAGTAGCTGTGAAGCTTATATAAAAGCAAYGGAGAAAGTTGATTTCTGGGAGCTCTCCTGTCACTGATATTGAAAGAGTCTCTAGAACAACACATTTATGCCAAATTTAAGTGTATTAGCCCCTTTTCCTCCTCCTGCCCCTTTCCCTACATTTTGGGCTGTTTCGCTGGCACACAGCAGGCTCATGGGTGTGTTTGCAATTACAGAGGGTGAAACAGGAACAGYACTGCCTTATCTCCCTGGTTTCCCAATGTCACTAAGCGCATTTTATTTTGAGATTCCTGATGGTGCTTGGCAAAGATAAACAAAATCTTCCATCAGGAAACCTGGGAGCTATTTCCACAGGAAGCTTCAAATCACTAAAGTAAATAAAACCCTTTTGCATTATTCCYAGCCACGTTATTTAGCTAGCCTGAGCCTGTAACAATTGGTGAGAGGTGTCATATATGAGGAGGCTCGTAGCCTTTAAACAAATGATTCTTTTGGAATCCTGTGCATTTTGCTTTTGTCCTAGATTTATTCAGAAAATAGTCTTCACCAAAGGCACATTGAGGAAGAACTCCAGACCTGACATGAAAGTAGTTCTAACTGTATTATTCTGTTGGCATGCTATCCTCTCAGGCTAAAAATAGTTCATTTGCCTTAGTCCCCAGGGATCTTAAGTTTCATCTTAAGAGTTTGGCTTGGCTCTTCTTAGCTTTTACTGAGTACTGGCATCTTCAAAAGCAAAAATTAGCTCTATTTCTAACCAATACCCTGGCTTTCTCAACACACATCAGAACAATCTGAAATATATTATGAGTAAGATGCAAAAATTTATTTCTTCAAAGTACATTTCCATATTCAAAATGTTTGCCATTTGATTGGTTTGAAGTTTGTCTGAATTTAATGCTTTTTAACAAGTACAGGATTCACTTCATCTGACTTAAATCTTAAAGTTAGATTAAGCCAAGCTGATCATGTAAGATCTCTTCATGACTAAGCATGAGGAGCCAGGATCTCTAGGATTCAACCCATCTTGAATGGATGGTTTGCACAGCCATCTGGAGAAGCCTGTGTCACCCCATGGGCTGTAAACTTTTGCCCACCTGCAGAACATTTATATTCAGGTAGATGTCTGCACTTGACAGATGAGGCTAAGTACAATGTATCCCATGCATGGAGATGATGTTTCATCTCAATAGCACTTCCAGCCAACATGTCCTTAATCACCAACATGTCCTTAATCAAGAATAGAATCTGCCACCACACACTTTTACATGTCAGAGACCATCCTGATGGTAGTCACTCATAGATGAGTTCATGAAATTTGAAGTTTTTCTTACAGCTTTGTTTGCCAGAGAGAGAGAAAAAAAGGATAACCCAATGGAATATAAGAACAAGTCAWCCCACAGTCTTTAATACCCGTAAAATATCTTCGTGTCACTGCCTCCATTAGGTTTATCTGTGTAGTGCACACCTGAGCTGCAACATGACAGACCCATGCTTTGCTCCCACTGCAGGGGCACGATGAGTTCAGCCGGGAGAAATCAGGCTGCTCCCTGGAAGGCATCTACTGTCAGGAGAAATTTCAATCCAAGACAAGCAGGAGCTCATTTACCCTCTATTTAACACTCAGAGCTAAGTGTGGAAAACAGGACATTAAGGATAACAACTGATGCCAGGTTTTCAATAGGCAGAGAGCAGTGAGCAAGTCATGCTCAGGGTTCCCCTGGAAACCAAGGAAGCTCAGTTTCCCATGTGGGGATTCAGGGAGAAGCTTTCTGATGGATTGGTCAATGAATGAGAGGAATTAATGAAAGAATATGTGGGATATTAGACACTTGAGAGCTACTTGTTTCACATTCCTGCTGAAGGGACTTTAAACCTGAAGCCACACTTGTAAGAATGAACTGAATGCAAGTTGTCATTGAGTTGTTCCTGGTCTAAGAAACAAGAAAAGAAGGTATGATTCTCCCTTATGAAAGAAGAAGCCATTCTTAGGATTTCAAGTCATKTTTACAGCCAAGTGCCATAGCAATTAGTAGTGAAAGAACAATTGAAAATGGCTAAAGTCAATGTCACTTGACTGAGAAGAAGGAAATGACTTTATCAGAATATTGGCTACAAATAAACCAAGAGAGGTTGCATTCTAGGACTAAAACTTGGAAGTGCTTTCTCTCAGGAACTTGCTYGTACTTTCGCTGAGGTCAGTGGTGTAAGTGCCTCGCTGGAGGGATGAGCTCCAGGTGCAGTCAGCTGGGAGGCAGTTCTGAACACCACCACWGTTCTGAACCCCTCTCCAGGTGGAGGAAGTTGCAAGTAACATTACAATAAACTGCAAACATGACTTTTCCAAGTAGGACTTTCTACATTGTTGGCTAAATTATTCCGGCCTGAACTACACACTATAAAGTGAAAACTTAAACCATATCTGCACTAAGTAAGTTGTTAGTGCAATGACTCTTAATTTCTGTCAGGTGAAGATATTTTTCACCTGTGTTTAATGCCAAGCCACATAAACAAAATATCTTCATCCCAGTGCTGCCCACACACAGCTGGCCATCCAGGTAAGAGGGTACTGCTTCTGTTTTCCTCTTGGGTGGCTGGCAGGATTTAAATGCAGAGAGGGAAAACACCCCTCTTCCAAAGGAAATCTCAGGCATGTGATCACAGATGCTGTAATTTCTCAGGATGTGAAGCATTTTTAAGAACTAGACATACTTTATCTAATACTTACAAATAACAAGAAAACAAATAACCCAGCATGATGAAATGCAGTATTTTTATACTGCCCTCTTGAGATTCCTTTTCTCTTATGCAKTTCACAGGCTGGAGCTGTGATCAGAATATTCCTCCTTTTTCATAGTCCCACTCTGCTGCCTTTAAATAATTCTTCTTTTGGTACTCTGCCCCAGTCTGTCTTAACTTGGCATAACATTTATATAACCTCATTACTTCCAAGAGCAACTTCAGTTTACACCAACTGWTGTGTGAGGCCAACTGTATCATAGCTCCAAGACAAATTATAAGAATAGTTGGAGCCTAGTGTATGAAAGGAAAGATTACACACTTGAGCAGGAAGACAACGACGTTGATTAGTTCAAAGACTTCYTGATAAAGAGGAAAATATATGCTGTGTTAATTTTGGCTGATTCATTTAATATAAACTAAAAAGTATTCTTGATTTTTGACAGATRTACCAAGTGGATTCCATATTGGTTTGGAAAAAATGCCCATTGAAGGAGAGAATTTGGTACTGTCCTGTTCGGCCAACAAATTCCTGTACAAAGACATTGCTTGGATTTTACCAAGGACAGTCAACAATCAAACAAAAGCAAAAAAGTCTCACAACAGGGAGTACTCCATCACCCTCACTCTGACCATCAAAAACGTTTCCCTGGAACACTCAGGCACCTATGCCTGCCAAGCAAGGAACATATACACGGGGAAAGAAGTGCTTCAAAAGAAAGACGTTACAATCAGAGGTGAGCACTGCAACAAAAAGGCTGTTTACTCTCGGATCCTCAAATATAAAAGCACAAGGAATGATTGTACAACACAAAGCAATGTAAAACATTAAAGGACTCATTAAACAGTAAGAGATGTCTCATATCATCTTGATTTTTTATTACTGTTGCTACCTTTCAAGTCCTGAGGTGGTGCTCATTTCCCCACGGGTTGGAAATAGGAGGAATAGCAAACAAAATCCTAACGCATGAGCTTCCAGTTGTGTTCAGACGGGTGTTTTCTCCTTTGGAAAGGCWTGTGGAAGCTGGGGTTTGGAAGATCTCCCCTGCTACATTTTACATGTCATTATTTTCTCTCTTGCTGTCTCCTACTGAATAATAAGGAAAACTTTGGATCAATCTTTTCTTCCGCTTTGATATCAGCCTCATCAAAAGTGTCAAAGCTGAATAAACTGATTAACTTTAAAAACTGCTGTTTTCAGTCAACAACGGACATTTAATAAGCTAACTTGAATGTGCAGAATGAGCACAATTCAGTTTGAGATTGACTGGACTATATATTTTTTATTTTAATCTGATCTTGATGGACTTATAAATATTACCTGCTGAGCAAGTTCTAATGCTTATTTATTTGAAATTATTTTCTACACTAAAGTACATTAATCTTAAAAAGTATCTTCTAAAAGAAGTATGCAGGGAAGAAATAAAAWTGTTGATATAATGCACAGACCTATCAAATCATTTATAATAATGATGATTTTACAACTCACAGACATGAACCATGTTTCTCCAAATAAATCCAGGTCGACTTCCAGTTGCTGTGTTGGTCAATTTTTAAAGTCAGTTCTGCACTAATGTAAAAAACTACTGATAGAAGTGTGGGTGTTACTGGCCTGAAGATTCAGGAATTTGTTTTGTTGTTATTATTTTATTAAATGAGGAATGTTACACTAACATGACTGACAAGGTTTTAGCCAGCACAATGAATTAATACATTTTTAAAATTCAAATTCAAAATTGAAGCCTTTAAAAATACTCATTGCTTTTGGTATGCAAATGACAATTGGATTTATTATGGGGATTAAGAACCAGCCAAACTGCTGAAGGAGGTTTAAGGTCAACCTAAGAATTCCTTGTGAGCATTCCCCTTTTCTTTTCCTTTGTCATGATTTTGCTATGAGATGTTTCTGTGTGTTATAAATTCTGTATAAGGAAGAAGTTACTATTTTTAATAGATCTGATAACTTTATTTTTTTACAATATATAGCTTTTATTATTTTTGGTTACATTTATGGTCAATCATTTATACAGCATTTGCATAAGCCATAACAAAACAGACCACAATGATAAAAATAGCTACAGCAAAGGAACAAAGTGGCTGTGCTTTTAAAATAGAGGGTGACAACATGACAGTTTCTTTCACTTGGGAACTCACCAGACTATTTCCTCCTTTAGGTATCRAGACCGTGTCCCACGGCTAAACTTGCCTTTCACGTGGGAATTGCTTTTATCAAGTGTGAAAGGGTAAACAATAGCATTTCCCCATAATGCCAGTTTCATGGAGCCTAAAATGCTTAGAAAACAATTGATAACCTGGAAGTTGTCRGAGTAAAGACAAGAATAATCATTTATATCTTGAAATGTCACCTATAGCCTGCTTGTACACAGTAGTTTTTTTGTTCATTATTAGTGTGATGGCTTCCAGAAACAATGTGTTCTTGCAAAGGGATCAGGCTCTCTTTTCTCCTAAAACATGCCTAAAATGCAAGTGAAGTTGTTGGTGACTGCTTAAAAAGGGAGCAAGCGCACTCTTTAGCATTTGCAAGTCTTCAGAAGAGTTACAATCAGAATCCCCTTCTTTCCTGAGGTATTTTGTGGGAAGACATTTGATGGAAAGGTGGGCAGTGATGACAGGATATTATGAATTTTCCATGGCCTTGAGAGCCGAAGCACAATGATTTGTAGCAGCCAGTTGCCAGGCAATACGAGTTTGGGTCAAAAAAAAAAAAAAAAAAAAAGGAGAGATGTGGCAATTAGACTGTTCTTCTGTGAAATTTCTGTGCATTGCAATGATGTATGTTACTGCTGAGTGGATGTGAGTGGATGTCCCACCAGCCTGGTCTTGAGCAGCGCTCACAGGGTCACGCTGTGCAAGGGTGTCACRACATCCCAATGTGGCCATCCGTGTTGGGGCGCACAGAGAAAGCTCACTGGAAACATTTGAGGAAAGCGGTTCTTGATGGCAGGATAAAAACTGCTGATGTCACTTTTGATGTTCTCAGATGACCGGAGAATCTCATGGTTTTGGGGAGTTTCTCTGCCTTCTGTTGTGTAATATATTATTTAGGGAGAAAGGTGTGAATTATATTTCTTTTTCTTTCCTTTTGTTTTTAAGTGTTTAAAATAAAGCTTGTAATTATATTTTTGTACTGATTAATAAAAAAATAAGTGAACAGTCGAATCATAACAAAAGGCAAAAATTGTTGGAATGCAAATGTAAACCCCAAAATCAACCAATTGTAATTTTTTTCCCTTTGTTCACTTTTGAAAATGCATATTTCCCCTCTCTGCCAGGTCAGACAAATACTCTGACACCAACATCTTCTTCTCCCCTCTGTGACCCACCCTGTCACTCCCCTGGGCCAAATCTGCCTACAATGAAGTTCCTCAGAGTAACTGAGAGCAGGGTTTGGCCCAGCAAGGCAGCATTTGGCTGCATGAAGGGTGGGGTCAGGTCTGGGGGCTGCCCTGGGCACTGAGCCCCACACCGTGCTGGTGGCCAGGCTAGTCCTTCGGCTTTGGAGCGAGCAGAGTGGGACATTGGGAACTGCTCCCCTTGGCTTTGCTGCAAAAATGGATGGGAGAAAACAGTGGTTAGCAAAAGAGAATAATCCTCAGGTTGACTGAGTCCTTGAAAAATCAGCTGATTGTAGCAGAGAAATTATTGAAAGTATGTGAATGATGACATAGGTTTTAAGCAAAAAAAAGTTTTACTTAATATGAAAACCCATCTTTAGTGTATGGCTATAAACAAATTAAAATTAATCACAACTCACAAAACGTGTGATTTGCCTTTGTTGTGTCATCTTGTCCRCCTTCACTTTGGATATCTGGGCTGAGGTGTCTGTCAGGGACTGCTGATAAATGTGGAGTTCTTCTCAGCATGTGCCTGTGGACATGCCTCAGGCTGTACCTGTTCATAATGTGAAAAATGAGACCTGAGCAAAAATCAACGTGAGGTATCAAGGAGAAGAGGGCAGTCTTCTTGGTTGCAAGGCAGATATAGTTGGCTATGTCATTATGTAGGTATGTGATGAAGAATTTATAGGGATTCTCATGAGCAATGCTGTTTGGGAAGAGAGGACAAATTGTCTCCCAGGCTGTAAACAATAAATAGTATTGTCTGTGGAAATTATTGGCTTGCAGCTCAGAAAACCACAGACTAGTCATTGCACGGTCATGACTGTGTTGGAATTAATCTCAAAGAGTACGGACASAGCAAAGATAGCCCACTTGAAAAATGGTTTTAGTGCTGTAGGACTCATGCACACTGCATAAGGTGGTGGTACATAGGGGCTTCATTCTTCTGGAGAGTTTTTATTTACAGCTGGTAACAGAATAATTATGAAGATGGAAATGTCTGATGCCTAGTTTTTACACAAGGATAACAAATAATCATCCAAATACAGAATATCAGAAATTCAGTTGATACTGAACTTGGTATATTGGTGTCAGTTGCAGCTTAAAGGAAAATACTTGCAAAGAGTTGGTTTCTGCTTTGTTTTGTTTTGTTTCATATTTGGAATGTGTGTCTTACCATGTTGGTAATTGCTGATCCTGGCAGTGTTCTTGAAGGGAAAGGTTGCAAATAATTGGGGAATTTGAGGGAATCAGCAGAGCATCTGTATCCATGACACTGCTCAGGAGCTCCCTGAATTCTCCATCTCTGCTTTAAATGGACCAAAACCCCAAAAACAATTATGTGAGAGCTGCAAATGTGAATGAAAGATGTTGACATGTAACGTGCATTAAAATGTCACAGATATCTTGACCTTTGTCGGAACAGCCTTTGGCTCGGTATGAAATGAGGGAAGGAGTGACAAAGGGTTGAAATGCTGGTGAAATTGTTTTGTTTCTTTCAGGGATGACTTTAACATGATGTTTATAGTTTGTTTTTGAAATKTTATGGCGTGGTTTGGCCAGGCCTGGTTACATTCAGCCAAATATGTGAAACATGAAAGTGGAATAATTTATTAAGACTTYGGTGCAAGGCTTCTCGCTCATGATTGCTGTTGTTTGATTGTGTGAGTTTACTGAACATGATTTGTAAATGAACTATTTAAAGTAAGTAAATGATACAARTCACATTCATGGGTATCATGGTATACAGAGCTGCAAGGTTTTATCAGCAACACAGAGATACTCTGCTACAAGGGTGTCCTGATAATTCTTCAAATCTTTGGTGTCACAGCTTGGTTCTTTTGATGATGAAAAACTGAGYTTTCATAAAAACTTACTGCTTTTTATATAAACAAGCCTGGTGGGTCATGGAACTGATAAATCTTTGGAACAGTGTCGTCTTTGATTCATCAGGGCATCATTGGTCACCATAACCTGCTATTGCTGAGTGATGGGAATTCTCTGTACACACCAAATACCCCTGAGCAAAATAGAACAGCGACTAAAATCAGTGGAAAATGAATTTGGTAGAACAGCCATAGAAGTCTCTARCACCAGTAAAATGAGTGTAGGGAAGATAATCAAATCCCCGCCTTTACACGAATGTAAAACAGAGGTGTTGTTTTGTCTTATAGCGCAAGAGGCACCAGCYCTGCTGCAGCAGCTTTCGGATCAGACAGTGAACACCAGTAACTCTGCCATGTTGGAGTGCCAGGTTCGTGGTATCCCTGAGCCCCAGATATCCTGGTTTAAAAACCATGAGGAAATACAGCAAGAACCAGGTGAGAGCTTTGTGTACTCACCTACCTCTTACAGCAGGCTGTTTATTTACCCACCTGCCTTAGGCAGCCTTTTGCAGAGTCATTGGCATCAGTACCCAGACGTAAGGGACAAGGATTGCCGAGGCAGCCCAGGGAGACAGCAGCCCAGGTGCTCCAGTTCACTCTGTCTCCCTCCAAAACATGAGCAAGGTTGGAGATCTAGACACAACAGGCCTCTATGGAACCAGTGAAAAGCATTTCATCCTATACGAGTCATCTCCAGAGAAACATATTTCCCTCCATTTATGATAGAGGGAGCCCAAGGATCAGGTGGCTTGGCCAGCAGATAAGCAGGCAAGAGAAATCCAAGCTCTCCTGATGTGCACGGAAGCACCAGCAGGAGTCTGTGGTCAGGCATAAAAAGTCTGCTCTTGAGTCACAAGCTATCCAAGAGGCTAAACCTATGCCTGGGGCATCCAAAATCCACATGCATCTACTGGTGGCAGAGGAATCGAGGGCTCATGCAATAGAAAGGACCAGATTCCCAGGTGGTGTGTTGCGATGACAGGAAAACTTTGGGAGCTGTTTACTGGTGTTTCTGAGAAGTGGCTTCAAAGATCAGCTAAGGCTAAATGTCCAGCTGCTGGCACCACAGTATGGAAGTGTTCCTTGGATATTTCAGATGGAAATRAATGATGGAGGAAAAGGCAAAACTTTTCTCATAGGAATTTATGCACATTTGGATCAKAAGCACACATTGAGCTAGTGTTACATGCTCAGAAAAATGTTCAAGGAGGTTTGGTYATTAGGAATTAGAATTTTAAGGGTAGTCTTCTATAGAACATTTTAGAAAGTTTGTAGTTATAGATCTGTCCTGAATTATTGGAAATTACTACAGCATGAATAAAAGCAACTGGAAAAAATTGCAAGGATTTCTCCAACTGAGTTATAAGCCRGTGCAGACTTGCAGCCCAGGCATTAAGCTTCATCCAGAACCAGATTCCATGAACCTTTACAGTGACCACAATGTTGTGATGTGCAGTAATAACACTATCTTCCAAAATGAATGTTATGGGTCTAACTTGGATGCAATGCAGCAGATACAATCAGGAGCCAGGGAGGTGTCTCCAGAGGGTAGGTCAGAGCACTTCAGTTAGGTGCCTGAAATAGATGGTGGGAACACATTTCCATGGGACTGCAGTTCTGATGGAGCCAAACACAAGTGTGTACTTAACTGCACATTTCCTGGCTAGAAGGTGCCTTAGCAGTATTCCTGAGGCCAAATCTGCTCCCTGCCTCTYCCTTGCTTCTTGGAGCATTGCCCAGGCTGGCTTCTGGGTTGATCTAGCTGGAATAAACAAGATGTTTAAAACTTCAGGTAACTCCTGTGTGTTAGGGTACCCCTCATGGGAACTCTGCACTGTTCGGCATCCCTTTGCAAAGGAGCCCATTGTTCCATGCCACGTGGGCAGGTGAGATTTGGAGCAGGTCTGCTGCCCACAGGGGCAGCCTGGATGGCTTTTGGAAGGGTTCTAAACTTGAGCTGCTTCTGGGGCAGACCTGGGCCTGTAAGTGCAGTAATCAGATCACCCTTTTCCCAAAAGCTCACCTGGATGAAAGCACAGTCATAGAGCTAACCAACACAAACAGTACCAAGTACTTCCAAGATTATTTCCTTAGGCTGAGCTTTTTGATYGGCACAAGTGCTCTGTAAACACTGATTTCCAAAAGATTCACCAGGCATCCAAGTGTATTTGGCTTTCCTGCAGCTAACATTGTGCTGTGCGGCCTGTGGCTCAGATTTCTTTTGAGAAGAGCTTGGCTCCCTCTCATTGCAAAATATTTCATTTCGCAGGAATAATTTTAGGGCCAGGAAGCCGAATGCTGTTTATTGAAAGAGTGAAAGAGGAGGATGAAGGATTTTACCAGTGCATAGCCACCAACCTGAAAGGGTCCGTGGAGAGYGCGGCGTATGTCACGGTACAAGGTAAAACACCATGCCAAATGGGAAGAGCAAGATTCCCAGAGTGATGGTCTTACTCAAGTTTCAAGGGCAGGGGTATGACCTGGCACTCATCTGGTGTTCTCTGAAGCAATTTGAAGGAAGTCCTAGCAAGGGAAGCGTACCAGGTTGGAAAGGAAGCCGAGCAGGAAATGCTAACTCAGAGTGTGTTTACACTGACCTAAAAAGAAGAATTGCTTCAACCCAACAAAGATCAGGTCAGGGTAGAAGACAAATRTAAATTTAGYATCAGCAAAACAAACAAAAAATAGAGTAAGAAACACTCTCTTACCCACACATTTTCTCATTTCAAGTTAATTCCATAGCAATTAGAGGCCTGGGATATTCTCATTTGTTTATTTTTAATGTAAAGTGAACTGCCAAATCACTCTAAAAGATTTTAGCCTAGCAATAGCAACACATGCGAAGGTACTACTACAAAGAAGTAGGTGTGATCTAGTTATTTCTGTAAACTTTACTGGATCTATTTTGCTATTCATTTAAATGTCCAGCATTGTTCTGCCTTCTGACAATCTTGACTCATGTCTGTGGCAGTGATTCCTATSAATTAATTTTACATTGAACAAAAATAAAGTTTATTTGGCAACCTTTCAGTTTCATTGAATGCCCTTTTGGCTCATGAATTATGAGATTAGAGAAGTAGGTTGACATTCTCCATATAAGTCAGTGCCTAATTCAGTTTGACATAATCTGTTTTACTGACGTCATGTTAAGTAAATAGTCCTAAATGCATTTAGTTGGTCTTCACAGAAGACCAGGTCTCCTAGGAAGAGATTACATGTCTGTGAATGTTCTTGTACAATTTTTAAATGTGTCTGAATACTACTMAGTATTTGGATATAACCCTGCAGCACCAGTCAGTTACAGCCAGTATTAATATTTTCCCATGCATTAGYAGTCTGAGTTAATCGATAATAACAATTGATGTTTTTGCTTTAAAAGGTCAGAGATAAGCATATGTGTGTGTGGGCTGGCCTAACTGGTGAAATCAAGGAGTTAAATATACCTATCTCCTTATGAATAATTATAGGATGATAGTATGGTCTGGGTTGGAARGAACCTTAAATATCCTCTAGTTCCAGCCTGGTCTAGTGGAAGGCAGGGACACCTCCACCAGACCAGGATGGTCAAAGCCCCTGCAACCCAGCCTTGAATACTTCCAGGGGTGCAGCATCCACAACTTCCCTGGGAAATCTGTGCCAGGGCCTCACCACCCTCAGAGTAAAAATTTTCTTCCTAATATCTAATCTAAAACTKCCCTCTTTCAGTGTGAAACCATTCTGCCTTGTCCTGCCACTCCATGCCCTTGGAAGAAGTAACTCTTCAGCTCTCTTGCAGACTCCCCTTGAGTAATGGAAGGCTGCCAAAAGGTCTCCCTGGAGCCTTCTCCACTCCAGGGTGAACAATTCCAGCTGTCTCAGCCTGTCTTTGTAGGAGAGGTTCTCTAACCCTCTGGTCATATTCGTGGCCCTCCTCTGGACTTGCACCAGAAGATCCACTTCATTCTTAAGTTGGACATCCCAGAGCTGGACGCAGTGCTCAAGATGGGGTCTCACAAGAGCAGAGTAGAGGCAGAATCACTTCCCTCTAAGTGCCTTTGATGACACTTACAGCTTGTAGCAGCTAAAGGAATAACTTGTGCCAAGYGCTCGCTGTCCAAATCATCCTGGTAATTCATAGTCCTGCACGATGTAATTCATTATTGTATTGATTTTCAACATAATTGAATCTTGGCTGCTTATTACAACCACAAGCATTCTGTCAGATGGTTTCTAGGAAGTCATACATCCCAGTCCAGAGGAGAGAACAGGGAGCACACAGTAGGGCTTCTTCTCTGGTTACATGTCCTGGGGGAACAMTGGCAGTGTTTTTGTACAGGTCCTGTGGGAATGGGAGATGAAAACTACCACATTAAAATTTATGACTTTGGGACTGGATGATAAAAAGACAGTTTGTCTTACCTATCATGATCCAGGAAAAGGTCTTTCCTCTCTTTTCCTACTACATGAAGGGATGTCACTGGAGATTTTTTTACTCATTCCCACATTTCTCTGGTCTGTCCCTCTCCCAGGAAATGACAGCCTCCCATCCCATCCCTGAGCTGGGAGGGGAAAGATCAGGGCTTGAATGTGGGTTTCTCTCTCAGCTTTGCCACTTTCTTGTCTCTCTGAGGAAAACAAACCCTGCACTTTCTGCTGGGAGCACCAAAGCCTTGCCTCTGTCCCGCGACTCTTGGAACACGGGGCTGCAGATCAAAAGGAATAGAGCAGCGCCTCATGTCGATGGCCACGTTGAGCAGATTGGAAGAGTMGTTTGGGAATGAGTCAGGAAGGAAAGTGTCTGCTCTCTTTATTTCCTCTGGAAAAAAAAAAAAAAAATCCTGCATTCACAGATAAACAGTGTATTATTTTTGTGGCCGAGATGGATGAATGGATGGTGGAATCAAAGGGCTGTCTTTAAATAATCACAGGCTGTGTTTGGTTTGGAAGCAGGGGCTGCTGGGCAGTCTAAGGAGAAGGGCCACATTTGTGAGCATGTCAGGGCAAGCTCTCTGCTTGCTCTTGGCTGAGGAACTGAAGAGGCAGCAAATCTGCAATGATGGAATAGAAACAGCAAAGAGCTGCCAGAGCACCCAGCAGATGGAGGGGAACAGTACATCTGAAAGTCTGGGGACACATGCTGCTGAGCACAGGGGGAACACAGCTTTCTTGGGCAGCTTTCTTTTGGGGTCAGCCTGCTCACAGAGTTGCCATGAAAGCTGTGCCCTGCTCCCCCAGCTGAGGGTCCTCCCTCCCCCTGGCAGCAGGAGCCAGGGATGTGGTCAGCTGCASAGGTGCTGTGCTAAAGGAGATTATTTGATAAAGGAAGGAGCACCTTTTACAGCTCATGCTCACTGAAATATGAACATATAACAAGCAAAGGAATCCAGCAGTGTGCCATTCTTAAAGCTGATATTTGATAACTTAGTCTGAGCCCTGCTGAGGAAAAGAAAAACATTTATTAAGTATTCACTTAACTACTCTGACACTATGAAAATGATGTTCACTTTTTTAAAATAACTTTTATTTAAATTATTTCTTTTGCATAACTTCTAGTTCTATCTATCTATCTATCATCTATCTATCTATCTATCTATCTATCTATCTATCTATCTATCTATCTATCTATCTATATCTATCTATCATCTATCTACCTAACCTTTATATCTCAAAAAGTTGATCCCACTGGGGTAGGAGTGAGGGATGCTTCAGGTGCAGCAGAGTCAAGTTGTTGCCCCAGGCACTGTTGTCTCCCTGGCTGACACCTGTGCTGCATCTCAGTGTTTGGGTGTTTAGAGCTGAAATCCTGAGCAGAAAGCCCATGTGAGCTGAAGGCCTGAGCTTGTGGCTGGAGGGATCAGCACAAATCCAGGCTCTCATCCTGCCATACTTACRTGATTCTGGTGGCTTCTGTTACTGCTGAAAGAGAGAAGCTGCTGCTGGTGGCACTGTTTCAGTTGCCCCCTCCTCACCCCACTGCARTCCTGAAGAGACAGGGGATGATGCAAGGGCACTTTTGGAGGGGCTCTGGGGCAGAAAGAGGGCTGCTGCCTGGAACAGAGCTGCACACAGGAAAAAGCATTTGTCTGATGAGGTGTCTGGTCAGTAAAGGTCTGCGATAGGGGTGTAAGGGGAAGCCAGAAATCTATGGCCACCAGGCAGAGWGAGGGATTTAGTACTGATTACAGCCTCACGGAACTCTGCTAGTTCTAAGGCCTCTTCTGAGTGTTTCTGCCTGTTCTGCCTCAAATCAAACCTTTTTCTACCYAGCTGAGAGGCACTCAGAGAGCTCTGACTTCAAGGCTTTTAGCAAGACTAAACTGATAGCATTTGATAACCCAGCCCAACCCCAGCTTGGAGAAATGTTTTCTGGTTGCCTACATTTGCTCAAACATTTCAAAGACAGCACCTTCACATCTCTTTGCTGATTACTGAGAAGCTACTGCAGTGGTTAGAGGGTTGCTGTCTTCCACCTCAGGCCTGGCTGTATCTCACAGGTTTTCTGTGTCCTGCCATTTGAAGCTGTGRCAACCAATGAACCTTCAGCCCCTCCAGGTTTTGCTGAATAAATGTCAGAAAYTATTACCTGCCATCTGCAGGGGTTCTGCTGTTGTGGTTTGAACTTGACYGAAAGCCAAAAGCACCGCACCCACAACATTCCCTCCCCCTCCACTGGAGAGGCAGAAGGRAGAGCAAAAGCCCAATTAACAATAAAATTTATGGCTTTTAGATAACATAACATAATTGAGAGAAAGACAAGTATATGCTCCAGAAAATGGTCAGACAGGCTGAATAACTGAAGCTGCAAAATAGATTTATTACTAAAAACGACTAAGAATACTACCACACCGGGGAGGGGAACAAAGATAGGGAAAAATTTACAAGGAGAAGAAAATAAAAGCTGACATTTTAAGACACCTGTTATTCTTTCCAGGAACCTGGCTCTCTTCCAAGTCACCCTTYTCCCCCCTCCCATGCCTTCCCATATGCAAAAGGGGGGGCAGGGATGAAAGTTTTAACATAGATCAAACTACTCATTACAGTTGTCGTCCAGCACCATAGGAGAAGAGTTCTTACAACTCCTAGCTGTGGAAGTTCTTTTCTCAAGAAAACAGTCAGTGTATAACTGCTGATGGCATAGGATTCTTTTCTTTACCTTGTGGGAGAAAGGAAAACAGTCCTCCAAGAACAAATGCTTCATTTTCGGTGGCATAAGGCCACTCCCTCAAATCTCCTGGAAGAACACAATTTCTTCTTAGCATCAACTCRCTTCAGATGTGAGGAGGAGCCAAGCCTCTTTCCCCTTTTTGGCTTATAATCAGTCCAGTCCTCAAAGGCCAGGTTTTTCTCAGAGCAAGGTCACCCTCCTTTTCTACACAGGTCTCCCATTGAAGAAATGGTCCTTTTAAGAACAGCTTGTTTTCTCCATGTTTGAGCACCACAGCAACAGTATCTGTCTTCTCCTTACTGTGATCTTGGGTCTCCATTTTTTTTCCTTACATCCCCTCATGCTCCTCCTCTGTCCTTCCCCAGTGCATGATACTAACAGCCTAAAAACTAAATAGTGGTTGCACTCTATCTTGTTTCGAATTCTTCTTAAGTACAGGACCATACATCATCACAAAGGTGTAACCAACCTGTGCAATTGGCCCAGGCCTGAGCAACAACCTGTCCATCAACCTCTGCATTACCCGGTAAACCCAGCAGTGAGACATAACAACACCTTCACTTGTCAGGAGTAACACCAAGCTGCTGGGCTCTGAAACTCTACAAGTGCTGTTCACAAAACTACTGTGAAATCATGTTCAGGTTTACTCCTCCTTGCTATCTCATTTACCCTCTCTAGAGGGTATATCAGAATTAGAGGCAGAATGTGATGGTTCTTTTTGCGTTTGCTACCAATCAGATGGAAAACGTATTGCGGGAAGTGTGGGATTTTGACACCATCACAGGATTTGCAAAACGAACTGCTCTGAAATTATTTTACAAATCCTTAAACAGCAGTCTGAAGTGAGTTTTATTTTGGCTTTTTTCAGSATCTGTCAGTGGGTTCTAATGCTTTCCAGATTTCTAATGTTCATGTTTTCTTGCTACTCCATTTTCAGTTCCTGTCAGTTTTGTTTTTCCCATTCCCTGGTTTCTAGAGCTTTCCCAGCTCCCTGCCATCTGGGTTCTTTGGGGTGCTACTGAGAAAGGACGGGGTCCTGGGTTCCCTCAGGGAGCTTGGCCATGTGCTGCTGGTGTGGCTGGCAGGGGAACTTCCAGGGGAGCAGTGGATTGGAAGAAGTGCCAGGCCATATTCCCCAAATTTCTGCCCAGTGGGAATGGGGCTCAAGACCCCTGAACATGATGTGTGTGAGCTGAGCTCCCAGGTGACAGATCAGATCCATCCAATCCATGGGAAGAAGAGCACATGGGAGCCTTCTGGCAGCACCATGAGTCTCCAAGACAACCCTCAGGTCACGCCCAGWGAGGATTTTGGTGAGGGCTGGTGGGTTTCCAGCATGTCTGGGATGCAAGGCTCAGCCAYTAGCAGGGAAGAGCTCTGTAAGCAACGGATGACAGCAAACCCCAAGCAGCAGCGCTGCAATGTGCCCTGGTCACACTCGGGGTCGCTGCACCAGCACAAGCCCTCCCTGGAACTTCTCCTGCCTGCTAGCCCCCAGACTGCAGCACTGCCTATGGGAAATGCCAGCAGAACCAACCCCTCAGCGCAGGGAGGCTGCAAGAGACCTTTTTTTTTTGGCTCTGAGAGCCAGTCCAACCAGAGATTAATACCCCATTGAAAAGAGCTGGTCCTTCCTGGTATTTTATTTTAATGGCAAAAAAAAAACCATGAAGTGCCCTCGGTTTGCAGATCATTTTCTAACATGTTTACCACTTGATTTTCCCAGGCGTACCGGAGAGGTCAAACCTGGAGCTGATAACTCTGACCTGTACCTGTGTGGCTGCAATGCTGTTCTGGCTCCTGCTGACCCTCTTTATTCGCAGGCTGAAGAGGGTAAGGGCAGACAGAGATCTCCTGGTGGCACCTGCTTCCCCTTGGCAGCTCTTTGCTCATGTAAGAAAATTTTTCCCAGGCTGCTGGGATTTCTGAGTCTACCAAAGAAAAATTCTGTTTCACTTACTGCTGCACCGTCACTTTCACAGTGCCAAGTCTGCCAGAGTTCGAGGAGTGTTTGGACAACACTCTCAGGCACATGGCATGACTCTTGAGGCTGTGCTGTGCAAGGCCAAGAATTGGACTTTGATGAGCCTTGTGGGTCTCTTCCAACTCAAAATATCCAGTGATGCTGTGATTCTTTGATACTGCTCGTCTTTGCTCCTGGTGCTAATCACCAGGCTGCCGATGGATGCTGGAGAGCCATGACTTGCAAGCCAGATGGAGAAGATTGGGCAGGGATAAGGCTCCCAAGTTCATAAGAATTTGGGTGCCTGACTCACACCAAAGGCATCCTCATTCCCTTGTAAAAACTGTGGGGGTTTGGCATCTTAATGTCTTTGAAGATGATAGTGAGTGGGAATGACAGATCTTCACAGAATGCACTGGGGTCTGCTCTGCACAGTGTCTGGTATAATTACATCACTTCCAAAGTGATATTTTACTGAAGGAGTTCTGATGGTGCAGCTTCAAGAGCAGATGATCCTGTACAACATGATAAATTTAACTGCCCCTGCTGTTAAATTTACTGCTGCAAGCCTTAGTGAGGAGAAATGCATGGGAGTTAGGGGGGAAAGGAAAGCAGAGGTCAGCTGAAGCTGTGGATAAACTTCATAGCTGTAAGAGAAATTACAAGCCAAGTGGGACCAGTACTGAATTCTCAACAGTACAAGTTATGACTGCAAATCTTGGAAAAATATAAGCTTTAAATGTGGCAAAGGGTTGCAAAAGTATTTTTTAGTATTTTTTATGAGACCAGAACTTGYTAAATTGTTAAAAGATAATAAAAATATCATCGCTGTACAACAAGGGTTGTTCAAAATTTAATGACATGTTAAGGCTCTTTTCCAGATGAGCCTCTCCAGCTAGTGTTAGTCTGTGTTTATAGTCTTTTCTGTGTTTCTCTTATAAACCCTTACTCTCAAAGATTTATATCTGGAATTAGCTCTGAATTAAATTTTAYATACAAATTATGTTGCCACAACAGCAAAAAAAAATGCTCTCTGAAAGCATTTTCTTAAAGTTTCTCTGTGAGGCATACAGGGATAGATGATATCCTCAGTAATTTTTCATCATTGAAAAATGTTGTTTCAAATCTCTAATTGTGTCAAWAATTTGCTATTGAGAGCATCTGAAGAAAGAACAGTGGAAAACTGTCCGAATTTTCCACTCTCCTATTGCTATATCTGGGATGAATCCCCTTAAAAGTTGTTCTAATGTGATGGGTTGGAGCAATCTGGTACACACATCTCTGTCTAGCAAAGCCCTTTATGGAGCACCACACAAGTTTCTGTTTCTACCCACACCCCGCTTATCCATGCCCTTTCCAGACTTAGTGGATGGTTTGGAGCCAGGCTTTAAGCCTCCAGACTTTTCCCCAAGCATCAGGGCAATCCTTCTTGGGACAAAATTTATGGGTTTGGAGATTGTGAAAAGCAACTAGAACAGAAGTTGTTAATTACTGTCATTTTAGTCTAGTTGTGTTTGTAACCAAGGCATGCACAGCCAGTAATATCCTTCTCAAAAAACATGCCTAGAAATGCTGGTAATAGGGACATATTTCCAAGCTATAGAGGAGGGAAGTTGAAAGTATAAGGAGTATTAGTTAAAGCAAATAATAAGAAAGAGAATATGTGGTTATATGTGTGTGTTTGTGGTATCTGTATGTCTGTGGCAATGTGCTACTTCCACAACTTTAGGAAAAGCAATACATCCAGATTCAGTTCAGCAGATTTCCCATAAATTCCAACTAATAGCCAGGAAATTATGGCAAAAACTAGGGCCTTTTCTATAGAAGTATAACTACCCCTGTGTCAAGAAAATCCACTGCATTAGAATGGCAATCTAGATGCTCTTTGAAGGGATATACATTTCAAAATGGATGAACTGCAGAAAACTTTCAGATCAGGTTCATCTTTCCTTACATTTCACATTGAAGTGGATAATTCATTCACTCAGGAAAAGCTAAACAAGCAAAATTAATTTGAAATTTTATTTTTTAAATTATGCGTTTCAGTCYGGCTATTTATAAATTCATCCAGACTAAAATGATTTGAGTACATTTTTCAGAAATTATACCAAAGAAATAAAAAATCCTAAAATTTTGTAAGTAGTTTCTGAAGTGTATAATGTCCAGTGTCCTGACAACTAGTCTTGCACAACTTCTAACCACATATGAACTATCTTTGTGGGATATATGGAACAAATAAACACTGGCAGTTGAACTCCATCTGTTGCATGTGGCCACTTCTTGCTTTGCACAATCATGAAGAAAAGTTATTTTTATCAGCAATGTTTAGTCACTTGCTGAAAATATTTCTCCTGCTATGCAGAGGGCCTGTGTCATAACACCATGTKTTAATACAGACTCACATGGATTTCATTGAAGAAACATTGGTATGCCACATGGGAGGAAGGCTAGAGGAAGGAGTTTCTTTGGTATAAAAACTCTTGCTATGTATAGAAAAGCCAAAGGGAGCTTAACCAAACCATCCATTGTACAGTGAAATATGTAGCCTTGTGAACAGAAGGAATTTGGAATCCTTGATCCAAACAAGAAGATGCTGACAGATTCCCYTACACACTTTTTCATTTTGCAATATTGTTTGTTTTCTAGCCTTAYTCCTGTGAAACAAAGACCAGCCATTACCTGTCAATCATAATGGATCCTGAAGAAGTCCCCTTAGATGAGCAGTGTGAACGTCTGCCTTACGATGCCAGCAAGTGGGAAATTGCAAGAGAAAGGCTTAAACTGGGTAATATTAGAATACTTCATGCAGAGTTTGCGTTGATTGAATAAGATGTACCCATAACTATGGGTAAAGAGGAGCTGGGTGTGTTCTAGGCATGCAGGACAACGTGGTGCCAGGTGTCGCGTGACCTATCCCACACTGAGAGCACTGACCTGTACATGAATTGCAGCATTTAGGACTGACCAACCCTGTCTACTTGACTGTTCACATGTATGTTTTGACTCCATGTAGGAAAATGAAAATAGAACCACAAGTTCATGTAGGTTGGAAAAGAYCCTTATGAGGAAGTCCRGCCATCTTCCTGTTCACTCCAGGAGAAAGCTGTGGCAGACASTGACAAAGGCTTTACTAAGGCCAAGGTACACAACATCCACAGGCTTTCCCTTGTCCTTTAAGCTGGYCACCTGGACACAGAAAGAGGATACAGACAAAAATGCTGCACTCCACATGTTGCAAACTGGTTAACTTAAAACATGACAAAAATGGAGCAACCAAACAATTCCAAATCAGAATGTCGACTCCAATGCTTCCTTCTCTAGACTCAGGAGCCTGGCCTTTGGCATTTACTGCAATTTTAGTGATTAACAATAATAATGATGAAAGGTCTGGAGAGGAAGCCAAATGAAGAGTGGCTGAGGTCACTTGGTCTGTCCAGCCTGGAGGAGATTGAGGGGAGACCTCATCGTGAAGGGAAGAGAAGGGGCAAACACTSATGTYTTGTCTATAGTGAACAGTGACAGAATCAGAYGGAATGGCCTAAAATTGTGTCAGGGGACATTTAAGTTGGATATTAGAAAAAGATTCTTCACCCAGCAGTTGGGGACTGGCACAGGCTCCCCAGGGAAGTGGTCACAGCACCAGCCTGACAAGTTCAAGAATCATTTAGACAACACTCACAGGCACATGGTGTGATGCTTGGAGTTGTCCTCTTCTGGGCCAGAATCATCCACAAGGATGATCCTTGTGGGTCCCTTCCACCTCAGGATATTCTATGATTCTATGGTTTTCTTCCCTTTCTTCAGCCTGGAAACTTGGAAAAAAAGCCTGTGCAGAAATGGGTCTTCATAGTCCATCTRCACCACTTCCTATTTCTTCCTTTCCTTCTTTCTCCAGCACAATCTCCTTGTTTTCCTCTGTGCTGCAGTTYTACAAACATTCTTGTTATTGTACCATAAAGTACAAGAATGTGGCTCATAAGCCCATGCACAAATAAACAAATAACCTTGAAAACTTTAAACCTACAGCCAGCTCCCCTATAGATGTCCCACCAAAAGSCATGGGTTTGGGATTGTTCCTTATTAAACCTAGTGTAGGGCTGATGAGAAGGGAAGGGACCATATTTTGGAGTCGATGAATCCCTCCAGAAACTACACAGATTTTAGTAAGAAGGTCAACATTAAAATATCAGTGATAAGCTCAGCCTCATTGCTATAGTGCTGTTTGTTCTTTCAGGTGCACATCACATATGTCCTATAGCAAGGTCTAAAAAATCCTTGCATTTTAGTTAGGACCTGTAACGGATTCCTCATGTGTCCCAGGGATYGGGACAGATGTTGATTAACACATGTGCACAATTAGGATCACACTTATTATTCCTGTCCGAAGACACGAGGTGACTAGACGTGGATAAGCACAGCTGAAATACAATGCCCATGATTTATAATTGTAATGCACAATTCTGGGAATGCTGAAACCTTGTCCTGGAGYGACTTCAATCTTTGGACAGTTTTCTTAAAATGAAGGACCAAGAGCCTGATGTGCAGAAAATGTGACCACTGGGAAAGAAACAAGCAGAAATGGAATGTAAACTGCAAGGRAAAACCCATGCCTTGCAGGGTTAGTGTTTGGAGTCCATAGGTGACGAACAATGACCAGAGAATGAGTTAAAAGTGGAAGAACTGGTGTAAACAAATAAAGAATGCTGACAAGGAATGAGAACCAGATTTGCAGAAGTTGTGTATGTGCAGYGTGTTAGATTAGCTCAGTGCAAGACCTGCTTACTTGGCAGCTGGCTCAGGCTTTGAGTAACCTTGGCAGTCTCTGAGGATTAGTATCTCACAAATACAAAATGTGCTTCTATGGTTTTTAAAAACATATTTTTACTTAGAAATGTAACCCCTTCCAGCATCTGAGGTGACTGTTTTTCTCTTTCCACCTACTTATCCTCCAGGACAMATATTTATTACAACTTTTGCAAAAATTGTCTCCTTTCAGCCCCCATCTCCTTTGCTGTGTTTCCTCCAACATGCATACACACAGCCCACATCTGTGATGCAATGCCTATGTAACAGGACTCGCCCTTCAGCTCTAAGAGGTACAGACATTAACAGCGAATTTTCTACAGGCATCACTGAAGTCAGGATAATTAACATTCGACATAGATTAGTCTCACTGAGAGAAAAACRTCATCTTTTCATTAGGCAGGAAAATGCTGGTGCCATAAATCACTGTCAGTGTGGCCGGYGACAACACACTATTTTACCTGAGCTACCATGCACTCCTCACCTTACTCTTGGGCTTGACCTTCCTAATCTAGAGAGGTCACACAGTGCTGGCACTGTGTGATGCATAGTGGGATGCAGCACCTGGGGCAGTGTTGCTGCTGGCTCCAGAGCAGTGACACCCTGGTGGCAGCCRCGCTCCCTCCTCTGCACTGCCAGCACACGGCGCTGGCACCAAGCATGGCACTTTCCACTCCTCTGCACCTGCACAGCTGTTCCTATGTAATATAATGGAAAACATGAAGCCACACGTGGGGAAAACCCAGCTGACTCAAACGGTGGCAAAGAACATGAGAAATGAACACACTTCAAGCCTGTGCCTTCCCACAGACATGGAGTGAGGTGTCTGCAAATTTTTGCCAATGCCCCAATCTGGCAACTGAAATGATTGAAGGACTCAGCTAAAATGGGACTGAAATGAAAATCTGATCCAAAACTSCTTGACTGAGGCATATGTTCATTTAATGTGTTCTGAGTGGCCCAACAAATCCAAGTCAAGTGTGGAAAACTTAGAGCATTTTGCCCCATTGGTCTGGATCTAAATGCTGCATTGCATACTAGAGCATCATCCCAAACTCAGCCAGTGCAGCTGCGCGAAGACTGTAATAAACTGACTGTTCAAATGGCTGGCCAACTTAATATTCCTCTGTTTAATGGTTTTGTAGTTACTTTGCATGTCAACATAAGGAGCTTTTGCAAGAAAAATGCCACAATTTCATATTAAACTGTGGAAAAGTTAACTTTTCATCATGCTGAAAAGTTAAAGCAGCCCTGCTCTGTGCTACCATTCAGCAAGGTACAAACAATAGCAKAACAGAAAAGATGAGTGTTATTACAGTTTCCCATTGAATCACACAGCTGTTTAGAGAAGGAAGTATTGTTTCCAGTGCTCATTCTCCTTTATGAAAGGTTAGCAGCTTTGTGCAGCTTTATGAGCTGGTGTGTTTTCCAAGCAGTGACTAAGTAGGTTATCACAATGTAGGAAGTGAATTAAGCATGATGGAAACAGATTAAAGCTATGGATTAAACAAAGGTAGGATGGGTTTTATATGACCTCAAATGGCAAATTCGTCTTGTAGAAACCATGAAYAGGCAAAGCATTAAGGACTGAAAATATCAACTCATTAAGAAAACTGAGACTTGAGTAGTCTTAATGATGCTTCCCTTATAGATTTGCTGGATTAAGAATCTACATGCAATAACTGAAACAGGTAACAGTAGGTTTTTAGACACACATGGATTCATCTGCACGTCTCTATCAAACTAAGACCTTCACAAACCAAGATCAGTCTGTTGACGCTTTTCAGTCATGTAGATCAAGTTCTTTTTGGTTTTTACTTGCTATTTTTTAATAGCTTTTGCATGTCTCAGATGGAATATACATTTCTAGGGGTCTTTTGGCCTTGCCTATTCCACTTCATGTTTCCATTGCTTTGATAACAGATGCTGTTTGCTTCTACTGACAGCCATACTGAGAATTACAGTTTAGATATAATATACACATATAAAAGGCAGTATTGATTTAATGCAGAGAATTCAGGAGCTCTTCTCCTCTCCTTGCAAGTATCTGAATAGGCTTCATCTCTCACTCAAATACCAACAAGGTAGATGTCCAAGTGAGAACTAGTCAACCAGGTATTCATCACAGGAATAAGAAATTRTTCTATGGAGATAGTCATGTCACATGTGCATATCTGAGAAATAAATGTATGGCACATCYTATCCTTTGCTTTTATATGAAAAGCTGACCATTATTTTCTGCTSTTCTCTACATCAAAAGTCCTGCTGCCATACTCTTGTTAGCCACTTTGTACCTGGGTTTTGCTGAAGGTGAAGCACAAAAGCAATCTGAAAATAAATACTTGGAAATAAAACTYGTTGTTAGCTGATAATCAACAAGATCCTGCTGACCAAGCCTTTGACAGCCTCTGCATAAAGRCAGGGGCAGCCAGACCTGTCCATGTGAACACATCATCAAAGGGGCAGAGGGTCTGCGTTACTGAGGACATAACTGGCAGCACCACAGGCTGCTGCACAGTTCAGTGTGCTCAGGGAAAAGAGGCGCAAAATTCTTTTCTGGCAGAGCTAGACTGAAAACATTCAGTTGGAAGACAGTGCGTGCCCAATGAATGGTTGCATTCATTTAGCAGCATTTTCACTCCTATAACTTGCTCCCCTTGATGACTTTGTCTTCTAGTTTGACTGCTTACTGTAAAAAACCTCCAAAAAAAAAACCCCAAAATTGTTAGAAAATATAAAAAATGTTAGAAATATACCTGTGGGACTCTTTGGAAAGTAAATTTTTCARTTCATGATCTATGAAGCCATTTGCTGACCAGATTTCTTTTTTTTTTACCAAGATGTATCTCTCCACTTTATTTTCTTTACAGGAAAGTCTCTTGGACAGGGAGCTTTTGGAAAGGTCGTACAAGCATCTGCCTTTGGAATCAGGAAATCACCAACATGCAGAATAGTTGCTGTGAAAATGCTGAAAGGTATCTTGCTGAAAGCTGCATTGGAAGAAACGATGCCTTATATAGTGGCACATGCTTAATATGATTCTATCAAAAGCAAAAGCTGTCCATAATAATCCTTTGAAGCCTCCAAAATGTGTTCAAATCAAGTTTCAGGTCCACCATGAGTGAAATGGCAAAAGTACAAAATAAAAATTGTAATCACAATAAAAAGTCATACCATTATTCCAGACTGAACCCATACTGAATGCTGTAAATAAAATTTAGYGGAAGCGTAAGGTATTCACTTTGATGTGAAGACACTTGAATGGAAGCTTTCATATTTTCCTTGGTCATTAGTTCCAAGGAATAATAATCTTTCTGYTAAAACCGGATGCCTTATGTCTAATTTGCATATGTCTGAGCTTTGCATCTCATTCTAAYCTTCTCCATTGGATTATATGATGCTTTTAAGGCCCTTTTATTAAGCTAAACAGATTGAGCAGTTTGAATCTTGGTGGTGTTGTGCAGGTGTGTCCCCTCTGAACCGGCTGCAGGCTCATTACACGGTGCTTAGGATGCTGACACCCAGGTTGTGCAATGGATTTGCCAGCACGGTTCATACACCAGTGCTCATCTGAAAGTAAAATCATGCCCCAGCTATTCACTGCCCCCTTTCCCATTGGWGCAGAAAGGACAAAAACCCCTCATTAATTTGAAGAGGGCACTTTGGATGTTAGCAAGCAAGATGATATTCAGTCATAGCCTGCAGCAGTTGTGATTGAATTACCTAAGCCAGAGTCCTGGTGGCATCCCTTCATATGTATTTAGCTTTCCCATCTTTATATGTGTAGCGATCATGGCAGAATTTTTTTTTAATTTTTTTTTTTTTTTTTTTTTTTTTTTTTTTTTTTTTTTTTTTACATTGCCCCAGGAGTTTATGCTGCACTGCTTATCTGTCTTCATCACTGAATCCTTTTTGGTGTTGTTTCTCAGCCAGGACACATCCCCTATTGTGCCAGTAAGGCTTGGATCCCTGATGCTCTCATTCAACTCCGTTCAGGCATAGTTTGAATAAATACATCTTAGTCAGTGGCTCCTAGCTTCACATTTGCTTCCTTACCATTTATCAGGAGATGTGTACATGTCAATTCCAGCCCTTGGAGTGGTCTGCCAGCTTCAACGTTTCTTTATGTACATCAGCAGGCTTCTTGTGCCAGCCAGCACCCCCAAGGAGCAGAGGGTGCAGAAGTCTTCCTGGTGGGATTCATGTGTGTGTGTGTGCAGAGTAGACGCTTGTGTTGGAGTAAGTCACTCAAATGCCCTTCACTGGCAGTGGTGAGAAACAACAGTTCATCCCATCCTAAGGGAGATCCCAGCATCCAGGGAGCTGTGTCCTTGTTCAGCTCTGCTGGCAATGAAGAGAGCCAGTGGTGACCAGATCTTCTGTAAGATCTTCTGTATCTTCGGTATCTTCACCATGACTGCCTAAAGCATGGGGAGATCTGCCTCATTCCTTGTGTCCTCACTAGATTATCCAGGAACTTTGCACTCATTCATAGCCTTTATCCTCACAGAATTCCCATGAAGTGGAGGCAAGTGTCTCCACCTATACAAGCAAATAGCAGGTCACTAAGTGGAAGACAAGCTTTGTGTGGGATGAAAAAAAAAACCTGTTTCAATTCAGATGTAGAAACCAAGCCCTTTAAGATCAAACTCTAGTGGTTTTTCCACAGGACCATTCTTCTTGCTCTTGGTATCGCTAAACTGAAAAACTCCTTTCAGGCCTATGCAAAGCAATTATTTTTTTCTTGTTTTCTTAACAAAATTAAATTCTGGAGGAAAAAGAATTTGCTCAGGGGGAACCAAAAGTTTCACTCAACACCAAATAGAATGGTTTGGATTTATTTGAGGAGCTTCTTATATCATTACTATTACTATTGGTCACAACTGGTAAGGGTGGGATGCAGTCMCCTCATTTTAACCAATTATTATTTACTTCCCTTATCTATCTCCAGGCTTCCTGTATAATGAACAGAACCAAACGAGCATCACCAAGGGATGGTTCATCTTTTCCCTGTACAGATGGCTCAACTTGATGGCTGCACCAGCCTCTGGAAATACTTTTCTCTTGCCACTGACTTCTTAAGATGTTGATTAGTTCAAGCTATAATATCACCCTTAGATAGCTGAAATCAGATCAGATGAAACCTATTCTAAATAGAATTAATTATAATCTTGAAATCCCATCTTATTTGTTCTTTCTCTTTTTTTGGCTGAAACATCAGAACTATTCATGTGAAAAAAAAAATCCTCTCAGTTCTAAATATAATAGAGTCTACTGGGAGGAAGTTGAGAGCCTAACTCTTTTTATGGGTTTAATTGCAACCAAGAGGATGCTGAGCAGGGAGGAATAGAGAGAGAACATCAACACRAGAAGTACATCCAGCAGTAGAGGTTATTTCAGTGGAAAGTAATGAGAAGTGGAAAAGCTCAGCAGGACCAGTTCTTTGCCTTTTCACACTGACTTTTTATTTTGTATTTACAGAAGGGGCCACAGCAAGTGAGTACAAAGCATTGATGACTGAGCTGAAAATCCTAATTCACATTGGTCATCATCTCAACATCGTGAATTTGTTGGGAGCTTGCACAAAAAACGGAGGTAAAAAAGTCTGCACTGCTCTGAAAATGGGGTTGGATTGTCTCCAAATAACAGCCAGTTAGCCATGTTGCTTTTCATCCAGAGGTCAAGTTACTAATTTTTAGTATTCGAACTTATCCTATA